CCCCACCCAGCCCCACCCTCCCCACCCAGCCCCACCCTCCCCACCCAGCCCCACCCTCCCCACCCAGCCCCACCCTCCCCACCCCAGCCCCACCCTCCCCCACCCAGCCCCACCCTCCCCACCCAGCCCCACCCTCCCCACCCAGCCCCACCCTCCCCACCCAGCCCCACCCTCCCCACCCAGCCCCACCCTCCCCACCCAGCCCCACCCTCCCCACCCAGCCCCACCCTCCCCACCCAGCCCCACCCTCCCCACCCTCCCCACCCTCCCCACCCAGCCCCACCCTCCCCACCCAGCCCCACCCTCCCCACCCAGCCCCACCCTCCCCACCCAGCCCCACCCTCCCCACCCAGCCCCTCCCCACCCTGCCCACCCAGCCCCTCCCCACCCTGCCCATCCAGCCCCTCCCCACCCTCCCCTCTCCACCCACCCCTCCCATTTTTGGATGCACGACGGACGGACGGACACAATAATCCCCTGTGGGCTGGTGTAACCAGGAGGTTCCTACCAGTAATGCGTTTTACTTCAAACTATTAACACGAGTGAGTGTACTCTGTTCAGGGCATGTCACTAGAAGGTATGATGGCCGATGGTCAATAATAACAATAATAAATAAATCATGCTTGATATATACTAAACAAAGCCTTCTTTCTCTGGTTATCGATCTCGTCTGTTGTCTTTATCTTCCCATTTACTTCTCACTTATTTCCCTCATCTGTTGTTTAAGGGCACCTTATGCATCTAAATTGTTAATGTGTATAGAAAGTGAAGTGTAAGTGTCAGTTTAGACAATGACACGTTTGATAAAGTACACAATTCAAAATAAGTGCATGATCCTGGTGTACAGAATTGATAACATTGCATATACTTACCGGCCTGATAAAATCAATGGACATTTTTCGTCACAAAAATATTGTACATTTTCCATAAATATACAAATTATATCATTTCGAGTTTAATCGCATTTAATTATTTTAATGTAGTACAAATCTGATGGACTGATCAAATATGCATTTTTCATCGCCTGAGCTGTTACAAATTCAGAACAATATAAATTTTCAACTCTCAACAGTAAAGACAAGTCAAATAACTGTAACTTTAAAATGAGTGCAGATATTTCTTAAGTATATTTTCCCACCACGGCATATACCACCTGCATGAGTTTACAAAAAAATGTAAATATAGCATAAATTATGAATGGGATAAATTCGAATCCAGATTCGATTATAGATTCGTCTCTGAACCGATGCTCAAATTTCAACCAGCCCTGTGCCATCTGTAGTCTGCGCGTGAGTGGCCACCATGTCACACCACCTCCGATTAACACGGTTGGCTAAGTACGGTGTGAAAGAAGTTCAACATACATACACTGCCCACCACTTTGAGGCGACTCTCGCTCCCCACCTTTCACTCCCCTCTAGATGACTCGTGCTCGTCACCCACTGTCATTCCACGGGCCAAAGCAAAACATTTTTACCACCCCAAGGTGCCAAAAGGTCAGTTTGTAACCAACTGATTTCAAATTATTATCACATGACTCACTGTCATAGGTCTGATATCGAAATTGGAAGCACTAAAGTTAACTCACCACAGGCAATACCGACAAATGAACTATCCAGTCTGGACGCACGGAGTCCCATTCACACTCTCACCGACTCGCTAATTCACCTGCTCGCCCTCCCAGACCGATTCACTTGTCCACTCATGCGATCACCATCTCATTACCCTCACCTACTTGTTCCCTCTCTCACAGACGGACTCGTTCATTCGCTGACTGCCTTGCTGGCCATATCAGGGCAGGAGGTAAAAGCCTGCATCCCCATAGCCACGTATCTGAACCTTATAATTAATTTTCATTGTGCAAAAAATTACAACTTTAATAATCACACCATCCAGCTATGAATGTAATGATTGACGCTCTCCATTGCCCCAGGAGTCATTTATCAAGATGCAGGTTACGAATCTGTTAAATATTAGAACTGTTTGGATTGATCTTTACATTGTATTAATGCCCGTCTTATTTGTTGTCTATTTCGCACGATTATCATCAATGTAACGCACTTTCATAAATTGTGAAAGAACCTCATTCTTACAGGAATTACTGGTATGCATGTTCGCTGAACCTCTTTCGCACCTTACACAGCCAATCGTGTTAATCGGTGAAGTATATATCATGAGCACAATCATTTGTGTTGATTATTTGAAACATACCTTCTACGAGCACAAATATCACAGCCACCGCCATCATTATTACATGCATCATAGGCTGTGGCACAAACGGTCCCTGTATGCACGTCCTTAGCCACGGCTCAGCTCGGGCTTGACCGACTCACCGAGCCAGCTCAAATCCCCGCTGACCTTGAGCAGACTCTGAACATGGTCCAAGCCATATTCAGGATTTCCATGAGCAGAGCCTGGGCAGAGGCCATGGCTGACCCCGCTCATGCATATTTGGAAGCAAACAGAAAGGCTCAAGCCAGAGTCTGAGCCATGACTAAGAGCACGGCCCCGTTGCGTTGCGAATCCTCCGTGGATACCCGTGGTGCACTCGGGTATTCAGACGTTCGCGGCTCGCCGTGTCCGAGCCATCGCCGACTTTCCCACCGGGGGGCAACAACAACAACAACAGCGGCACCATCAGAATGACACCGACCCACAGCTGTCGGCACTGCCCGCCTCAACGGGACTCGTCGGCCACTCCAGCCATCGGCGCTGACCTTCCGGCATACCTCCATCGACGTGATATACCTCGTCACCGTCGTTTGCAAAAAAAACCAAGAAGAGAAATTACGTTAATGTATGCATGTATGCGTGTTAGTGTGGTGTGAGTGTATGTGTGTATGCAGGTTGTGAGCGTCTACATGTCTTTGCATGTATTATGCATTAGCACGTGTTGTGTGGGTTTTCCCAAGCACATGCGATGCCACTCATGCTTCCATGCACAGCAAGGAAGTACTTATTAAAATGTGAATTACAAAATGTTCACATTGTGTTTAATTGAATGTACCACTTGTTAAAAAGTTGTCACCCACCCTTGATACGCAAAGCAGCCGGGCCGGACTCTGTCTCTCCAGCCACCCTCAGGCACTGCGCTGACCAGCTGTCTCCGGTGTTCACCAACATCTTTAACACCTCCCTGGAGACATGCCATGTACCAGCCTGTCTCAAGTCCTCCACCATCATCCCTGTGCCCAAAAAGCTAAGGCCAACAGGACTAAATGATTACAGACCGGTCGCCCTTACATCTGTGGTAATGAAGTCTTTTGAGCGCCTGGTCCTGGCACACCTCAAAGCCATCACAGACCCTCTCCTGGACCCCCTTCAGTTTGCCTACAGAGCCAACAGGTCTGTGGACGATGCAGTTAACATGGCCCTCCACTTCACCCTACAGCATCTGGACGCCCCAGCATCCTACGCCAGGATCCTGTTTGTGGACTTCAGCTCTGCCTTCAACACCATCATCCCTGCCCTGCTTCAGGACAAGCTCTTCCAGCTGAACGTGCCATACACCACCTGTAAATGGATCACAGACTTCCTGTCTGACAGGAAGCAGTGCGTTAAGCTGGGAACACAAGTCTCTGGCTCCAGGTCCATCAGCACCGGAACTCCTCAGGGCTGCGTCCTTTCCCCTCTGCTCTTCTCCCTGTATACCAACAGCTGCACCTCCAATCATCTGTCCGTCAAACTATTGAAGTTTTGCGGATGACACCACCCTCATTGGGCTGATCTCTGGTGGGGATGAGTCTGACTATAGGTGGGAAGCTGACAATCTGGTGACCTGGTGTAGCCAGAACAACTTAGAGCTAAATGCTCTAAAGACATATTCTTAGTTTTTTCGGTAAAGTCACGTTGAAGAGAAACAACAAAATAACAAAATATATATAAAACAATACAAAATTCTCACGACGTTTCGACCATAACTCAAACGGTCATCATCAGGTGTGTCATGCAAACCGACACACCTGATGATGACCGTTTGAGTTATGGTCGAAACGTCGTGAGAATTTTGTATTGTTTTATATATATTTTGTTATTTTGTTGTTTCTCTTCAACGTGACTTTACCGAAAAAACTAAGAATATGAATTACTGCAGTCACGAAAGCTTTAAATCAAAATTTAAGCTCTAAAGACAGTTGAGATGGTTGTGGACTTCAGGAAGAATACAGCACCACTCACCCCCATCACCCTGTTAGACTCCCCAGTAAAAATTGTAGAGTCCTTCCGCTTCCTGGGCACTATTCTCTCCCGGGACCTCAAGTGGGAATTGAACATCAGCTCCCTCACCAAGAAAGCTCAACAGAGGATGTACTTTCTACGGCAGCTGAAGAAATTCAACCTGCCAAAGACAATGATGGTGCAATTCTATACAGCGATCATTGAATCCATCCTCACCTCCTCCATAACCGTCTGGTACGCTGCTGCCACTGCCAAGGACAAGAGCAGACTGCAGCGTATCATCCACACTGCTGAGAAGGTAATTGCCTGCAATCTACCGACCCTCGAGGACCTGCACACGACAAGGTCTATGAGGCAAGCGAGGAAGATTATGGCCGATTTCTCCCACCCTGGACACTCTCTGTTTCAGCTACTCCCCTCCGGCAGAAGGCTTCGGTCCATCAGGACCAAAACCTCACGCCATAAAAACAGTTTCTTCCCATCTGCTGCTGGCCTGTTAAACAAGGCCAAGGGCTAACACTGTTTTTAACATTTGATCTACATAACGACACGTTGCTGATATTAACTATGTTTCCCTATTTGTATTTTTAAATTATATCTTAAAGCTATTTTATATTCGATATTTATTTAATTTTATATACTTCAGCCCCTTAGTGTTAGACTTTTAACCCTTATTATAGTAAGACTTGTTTAAAACTTATTTAAGATTTTAGATTCCTATATGTTGAATGTATGCACCATCCTGCCAAAGTAAATTCCGTGTCGGTGTGAACTTACATGGCGAATAAAACCCTTTCTGATTCTGATTCTGATAGTATTATCAGCAATTGTAAGTAGTTGCGTGTTGTAATTGTCCTCGTTTTGTTCTTTGTGAATTGAAAACACATTTTGGGTTTGGCCAGATTCGCTTTTGAATTTGGAAGCTCAGCTTCAGGTCGGATTGAATTCGGCTATGATGGTTTCATCCCATGTTCTACCTTAAATAATAATAAACATAACGTGTATTCTAAAAAAAATAACGTCAGTTCATTCGTTTTATTTATTGAATTACGTTCCAGATCTGCTGGCCAAGTATCCATAAAGCGTGGATATTTTCTTATTAAAATATATACATATACACTGTATAGAGATCGTTCATCAAAAGAATGTTGCAATTCGGAGCATAAATGTTTTGCAAAGGTGAAAACAATGCACACAAAGTACTAAAATGACAAATGATTGAAGCCACACACTTTGCATTCCTAGTCTAACGTGTATCAAATATTTCAGCAGCTATTTCCTCAGATGATCACATATTGGTTAGATGTGCACATTAACACCAGTGTGTCTCCCAAATTTCGACTCAAGTATCTTTGCAGCTACAGTACTATATAGCTTTAAAGGTTGTGTGCCTTAGCAGTGATGCCTCATCCTACTCACTCGACTATTACCACAAGATAATTAAAATGTGTAAATGAAGAGCAAACACATCTCATAAAAAAAATGCAGACGGGAAAACACAGATTCAACAACAGATAGGTGCGCATTGTACATACAAAAGCTTCAGCCTTATCCAGACCCCCAGCTCAAAAGAATTGGGTGTGTGGCCATTGTTGGTGGTCTAACCAACATTATAGCCACACGTTCAGTTATTTTAAACAGGCGGTCTGCATAAGGCTGAGATAACTTTTGCACATGCAATGGGCAACTGTTGTGTGCTATTAAATAGACTACAGGAGAGTACACGCACATCAGAATAGGACGGTATGCCCATTTAGGATCAAACTACTGATTTGTTGTAGTTGTTATAACAATGGAAGGAGTTCCATAAAAAAACCTGTTTGACAAGACAGTCCTTGAGATGCCGAGATGCTCAAATCAGCTCTGTCCACCCACACCTCTCACGTAGGGGTGCGCATTACATGGTAGGCAGGGGTCTTTTCTGGTGCTTTTCAAAGATACCATTTGGTTTTAGTCGGTAAAGCCACGTAGATAAAATAAAACAAAATAAAAGAAAACAATTATTCACGACGTTTCAGAGGCAACACAAGCTTCCGTCTTCAGGTGGAATAGTCACAGAAGAATATCTGTCAAGTGCACAGCTCTGAGACGATCGGGTTTATATCTAGGTTAGGGGGGGGGGGGAGCCAGAAAGGAAAGTGGGTGGGTGGGAGGGCTGAGTTAAGCCTTTTCAAAGATACCATTTGGGTACTGAGAGACTGTTTAAGAGTTTTCCATTGTCCTGCTGTCTCAAAGGTTTCTGCAGATCGTTAACTTACACAGGCAGAAATTGGGTAACCTGCAAATGGGAGTCAAATAGTTATTTTGATTAAATATGAAAAGCACACACTCACGTGCATTGCTTTTCTGATTTACGTTATATCAAGCACGTAACTAAACCTCCGGTTGAGGCATTATTAAATTGTTTGTGAAAATAATAAATAGTATAAATCTCTCTCATTTTCAAACAAATTGTGCCGACTAATCCTCCAAGTCCACTCCTGTCCACTGTGAATTGACATGCCTACCGAAAACAAAATTGACTTTCACCTCAAATCGCTTGCTGAAGCTACAATTTATGTTTATATACTCAACAAAGCACTATGTGAAAACGTGTGTACACACAAAAGTATATTAAACGAAGAACCTTCGCTTCCACAATTACTGCCAAATATTATGAAAATATGTGCACTTAAGGAAAAAAAACACATCTTCAGAATTATAAACTACGGATGGAGGGTCGTGCAGTGGTTTCTTTCAATGCCACAAACCTAGCAGCCTGACTTTGACACTCGATTATGAGTAACATCAGTAGCGAGCGACATGGCGAACTAGTTCTGAGCCTACGTTTCACAACCCGCACTGACCAGCGTGGTGAAGTATCATCAAACATCCCTCCCTCATGGCTCACAAGGCGTTGACAGGCCTTAATCCAGAAATTGTATGAAGGGCTGCAACTTATTATTATGGTGTCTATGAAAGCCCCATTTGGAAAATGATTTTAGATTTCTTTTAAGTGTCCATATTTGTGTAATTAAAGCAGTGGTTCTTAACCTGGGGTGCACGCACCCCTTGGGGTGTGAGATGCCCTTTCTGAGAACCAAAGGGGTGGAGGCTGCAGTAAAGGTGAAAACCACTGAACTAAAGTGCCTGAATGCCTGTAGAATACACTGGGGCAATTTTGTGGAAATCGCTGCAACAGTTGTTGCACTATTTTTTACTTTATGAACTTACGGATGGGAGTGTGCATTAAAAAAAACCAACATCTGTATCGTGCTGCCTCATATAAGTCACAAAGTTACATCATGGGCCAGAGTCCAACCCCACAGACTTCCCTCCCATCAGTAGCTGTTGGCCACGGCACTGGCCTGCGCGCCGGCCCTGCTGCCCCGGCAGCCTCTCTGGTGAACGATCAAGCGGCAGCGCATCAGGAAGCGCTTGCCACACGTCTCGCACTCGTACAGGAATACGCCCACGTGGAGCAGCGCGTGCTTGATGAGGTTGCTGATGAAGGTCGACTGCTGGCCGCACACGTTGCACAGCAGCGAGGAGGTGTCCACGTGCGTGCGTGCGTGCGACCGCAGCGCCGTCATCGACTTGAACACCATCTCGCCGCACGTCCGGCACCACACCACGCTGTTGCCGGGCGCCAGTGGCGCCGCCGATTGCGGCGGCGCCGGCGCCGGCGGCAGGGACGGAAGAGACGACGAGGCCGCCCTGACCCCCGTCGCCGCGGGGTCGGCGCGCGCCAACCGGCCACCCTGCCACGGCGCCTTGAGCTTCTTTCCGCAGCTCTGAGCGCGGTGCAGAATGAGCCGCTCCTCCGAGTAGAACTGCTTGCGGCAGTCGTGGCAGTGCAGCGCGGTGACGCCCATGTGCAGCACCACGTGCTGCTCGGCGTTGTTCAGCAGCCGGAACTTCTTGCCGCAGATCCTGCAGCTCATGGCCGCCACGTCCAAGTGCACGGAGCGCGCGTGCCCCCTCACGCAGTCGTCGCTCTCGCCAATGAACTCATCGCACACCTGGCACGGGATGCCCATGGGGATGTCATCCGCGAACTGTGTATAGGGTTCATTGAGCTGGTGGTAACCGATGGGCTTGGCCACGTACGAGTCCTCTTTCACTCGCTCCACCTTGCCGTCGAACTTAATATTCAGGTTATCAAATTCTCTGTAAGCCTCTTCAATGTTTTCATCCCCACCAGCAGCACCCTCACTTTCCAAAGGCTCAATCTTGATTTCACCAACCATTGTGGAGGCATTTCTGATTTTGTCACACCCATCTTCCAAGGGTATGGCGTTGTTCATGTTGATGTCTTTTGACACGGAACAATTCACCAGAACGGCCTTGTCCTCAATGGCTGGCATTGCGGGGACATCTGTACGGTCTTTCTGCCCATCGTTGCCATGTAAATCCTCAGTGAAGGCTTGCGTTCCCTGCTCAATGCTGCCACAGTCGTCGTTTTCCATGTCATTCTCAATATCCTCGACCAAGTTGAAGGGTTTGCAAGCTTCAGCCAGACAGTCCATCCCGAGGTCCACGGCTGCGTAGCAAAGTCCCCGCATCTCCTTACGGCTCGCACGGATCTGCCCCTTGTAAATGAAGTTCACGACCAACTCGAAAGTCCTCATGGTCAGGAAGTCGACGAGGAAGGGCCCCATGGAGCTGCAGGGCACGTCGAGGAAGAGGCTCCGGAAGTACCTGCAGGTGCTGCTCAGCAAGGCCTTGTGGGCCAGGTATCGCCGGCTCTGCACTTCCACAACGACGTCGCAGAAGGAGCCTTTCTCGCGCAGCTCGCACAGCTCCCGCAGGAGGTCCGGCACGTGGTTGTTGCTGGACAGCTCCAACATTTCTTCCATGTTCTCGACCGTGTCTTCAGACATTTCTGAAAGAGCCTGCCTGGAAGAAGATGCTGTTGAACACAATCCAAATACAGTGTCATAAACCAACAAAGACAACCACGTTAACATTGTAAAAAAAAAAACGTAAGCAGTCGCTCATAGTCACATATGGATATTATTGTAAACATGGCATAGGCAATGGAAGACAAATTAGGTCGGCTCACTTCTCTACCCATTGTAAACAGCAGAAAATGATTTATTGTAATGGCTAAAAGCTGTGGCTCTACCAGCAGCAGCCAAAGATAAGCTAAAACCAACACACACACTCGGCTTTCACGAGATAACATTCTACAGCCACTAAATAGTTTACCTGCAGCGATTTTTTACTCGGAATTTTTTTTTAAAAAACAGGCACATTTGCAAGTCAGGCCCACGAAACAGAAGTGCCTACAATGACCTTAATCGGGCCCTGCCCATGATGGCCAAAGTTATCTAGTAACATAATACAGGTTTCTTTGGGTTAGATCGCGTAAATGTCGTTAGACCCGCCACCACCAGACATAGCCAGGTTTGTTACGTAAATAGAACGTGCCAATTCGTTACTAGTACACCACACCGCTGTATTGGGGAGCAAAGCCACAATATTTATCATCCGAGTACGACGTTTCGCCAGCAATTACAACTGGCTTCATCAGGCGACAGCCAGATTTGTGGATAAATCCTGTTTCGTTCCTTAAATGGAGGGGTAGATATGTGATGACATCACGAGTGAGCCCTTCTTGAGCGAAGTGGCGGATTAATGAATGCATTAAAATCTAGTAGAGTACACATTATGCGACATTCTCTAAGGTATGCGAACCAAACGTTGTCGTCTCCGAAGTGTGCACTACTAAGTCGCCCCCTAATCTCAGCTGGCACAAGCTTCGTCAATACTCTCCGCTCCACTTGCTCGGCTATCCTGAGTGACGTGTGTGCAGTCAATGAACTTCTCTGCCAAGCCGGTGGTTTGTTCTAAAAAAAGGCGTCCATACAAAATGTAAATTGCTTTAAAGTAGCGAATTAATTGATGCATCGTCACCGGATCTGAGTACGTGTGCAATTTTTTTTCGATTGGACAACAGGAAGTTGACTAACTTTTGATTACAAGATTTGACCATAGGGAGTCAAGTTAAGTAAAACCGTTGAACAAATAAGAGAGAGCTATCTTAAAAAAGGGTTATCATATTGCGTCAATCGTGCGGTGAATGTCCCACACCGTTAACGCACCCACAAACCACACGCACACCACGGAATAGAACACACGTCCAAGCACAGATCGACACGTCCTGCGGATTATACATCTCGCGCAATTCTCAGCTCCCCGTGGCCACAAAACCGGCCACCACGCCTCCCCCCACACCCCGACAAGAGTCCGGGCCACGCTACCACGAGCTTCTGGGGCACAAGTTGTTGCTGTAAGCGAGCAGCACCTACACAGGCCGGCACGGCACAGGACGGGGGTTTGGGTGACCACCACCACCACCACCACGTCCCTTTGTTGATATTTAGACAGAAACACCTAGCACGGCTGGCTACGTACGTTGCGATATAAGTTCAACGTACACACGCTGCACTAAGTGCTCAATGGAGGCTTCGGGATCGGTTGAGATAATCGCCACCGGTGATGGTCGTGAGTAGGAATTAAACTAGGGGGTCACTGGGAGCGCCGGCTACTTCGCCACGGCTCCTCAAACACAACAACCACGAAATGGCGGTGGCGTCACCGAGGCGCCTGGTGCCAGGCTAGGTGCACTTCTAGGCCACGTGAAGTGTGGTCGGCTCATCGACAGGTCACGGGGCAGACCCCGGGGTGCCATGGGTTCACCGGGAAGATTTCCAGATGCACCCAAACTGTGCTTCTCCACTGCACAACCTCGCTGCGTGTTTAATCGCCGGGCGCTCCGCTTGTTGTTGTGAGCGTCGCTCACCCCACCCGCCTCTGCGCTGCTGATGGCGACTGCCTCCAACTGTCCGGTAGCGTCCTTCACGATCCTCGATCTTGACACAGCTGGCAAAGAACAAAACAAAGATATCCGGGTAGCTTACACAGGTTGTGGTTGTTGTTTTCGCTGCTGCAAGTGCTGTGAGCGACCGCCTGGAACAACCACACACCACGTGCCACGGCATTGAAACCCAAGAAACCCGAACGCCTCCAGCCGGACAAAGCCTCGCGTGGTGATTGGCCCGCGATTCGATGTTGGGTAGGGGCGTGGCTTCCGCCTGAGAGGCGGGGCCTGAAAGGTAAGGGGGACGGGGTACCCCCTTCACCAATTCCAAGGGGGGGGGGCACGCAGGGGTCACACAAGGGGGGAGGGGCACCCCCCTTCACCAATCACAAGACGAGGGCACGGGGGGGTCACACAAGGGGGGGGGCGCCCCCCTTCAATCACAAGGGGGGGTCACCCTCCTTCACCAATCACAAGGGGGGAGGGAGAGGGGCGGAGCGACTTCCATATTTGGACGTATTGGTGGTAAACCGGAGTGACATAACGGGCCCTCTTAAAAAGTAAAAAAAAAATCTCAAAATTTTATTCAGCAAATCTGTTTTTTTTTCAATCAGCCTTTTATTGACCCTGTCGCCAGGTTTGACCAAAGAAAAGGGTCAATATTGACCGTTCAATATTGATTTGGGGACCGTTGAATAATTAATAATCGATTAAACCGTCCTACCCATGTCTATGTTGGGGCCACGTGTCCAAATCCTCTTTCTTGCCTTTGGATGCACGGAGCGAGCCCAATCACCACCAGCCTTAGGCTTTGCTGCTATACGGCAAACAAGACTGTGTTTGTGTTGCCGTCTTCCGACTGCTCTCGACAATCACGACAAATGAATTTTGAAACGATCCCCGCAAGGAGTTTTGTTGTTATTTCTGACCGGCGGTTGAGAATAGTGGGGAAAATATAGAATACACAAAAAAACAATCCATAAAACGTTTGTCTTTTGGTTAGGTCGCGTAAAATTGTGTCGTTAAACCCGCCATAACCCTACACAGCCAATTAGTAAGGTTTGTCACGTCAACTTTTACCGTTGTAAATCCGCAACATTTACCCTTGTAAATGTTGCGGATTTACTCTCCGACACAGCGGTGGTTGCTGTACTCGTCACGAATTGCCCACGTTCTTATTCTTGGTTCTTTCGGTAAAGTCACGTTGAAGGGAAACAATAAAATATATAACAATAAAATTCTCACGTTTCGACTGCAACGCAAGGAGTCATCATCAGGTGTGAAAACCAACGGCAAGAACATATGAAACCGCCACTTATTTCAAATGTTCTTGTTGTGGTTTTCACACCTGATGATGACTGCTTGTGTTGCAGTCGAAACGTCGTGATTTCATTGTTTTATATATTTTATTATTTTATTGTTTTCCTTCAACGTGACTTTACCAAAAGAATCAAGAATATGAATTACTGCAGTCACGAAAGCTTTAAATCAAAATTTGGCCACGTTCTGTTGACGTGACAACCCTAACTAGTTGGCTGTGTCGGGTGGTGGCGGGTTTAACGACATATTTATATATTTACGCGATCTAACCCATAAAACGTTGTGAATGATATTGGTGGGGAAAGCCGACTTACTACGAGGTGTTAATCTGAACTTTAAAAAAACTGCGAAAACTTTTGAGTTTTTTTTTTCAATACGGGCAGGGGAGGGAGAGGGCCAACTTCCGGTGGGAAAGAGGGGGCGTGGTCACGAGCACTCGGCCCCTCCCTCCACGGCCGCCGCGCCCGCCCCTCAATGAGGGGGGGGGTTGAGGGGGTCAAGGGGGGGGGTGCCGCGGGGATACCGTCGGGGTCTACACGCCGCTACGGTGCAAGACAGCAGAGAGAGAGACAGAGAGAGAGGCAGAGAGACAGCAGAGAGAGAGACAGAGAGAGACAGAGAGAGAGGCAGAGAGACAGCAGAGAGAGACAGAGAGAGAGGCAGAGAGAGAGACAGAGAGAGGCGCTCGCCCGCTCTCTCCCACCAGCCGGCCCCTCACTCACCAGCTGCGACTCTCCAGCCCGGCAGGAGTCACCCCCCTCCCCCCCCCCCTACGTCGTTTGTTGCTGGCGGCGTGCGCGCCTTTTTGTTTCAGCGGGTTTCCTTTTGTTTTGTTTCACCTTAGGGCGACTGGGTGGTGTTGTTGTTATCGTCGTCTTCTCGGCCCTGAAAGCCGAGAGGCGGCGAAGCGGGCGACCGGCGTCGAGTGCGACTCGTCCCTGAACGAGCATAGCAGTGGAAGCAGCAGCTAATGCTGCTGCATCTAGCCGCCCTGCTGCAGCAGCAGCTGCTGCAGCAGGGCGGCAAGATGCAGCAGCAGCTGGGCGGCAAGATGCCCCTCGGCTCCCTGCCCGCCGCGCGTGCCCCCACGCGGCACGCCGCCTGTCCGTGCCGCGCCACGCGGGCACGGCAACCACCGCCGCCGCTACTCCTGCTGCTGCTACTCCTGCTGCTGCTACCCCTGCTGCTGCTACTCCTGCTGCTGCTACTCCTGCTGCTGCTACTCCTGCTGCTGCTACTCCTGCTGCTGCTACTCCTGCTGCTGCTGAACCCACCGTGGATAATCTGTGGGTGTCGTTGCGAGCTTCTTCTCTTTGACGGTACTTCACGCCGTGTCGGTGCGGGATGGTGAAACATTTCGACACCGTTGTCCGCGTTTATCAAACTGCACGTTGTTGACCCCGGCGTTTTAGACAGTCGCGGTCCGAGTATACCGTGCTCGCAGTGACAACGTGGGACGACGATCCTCTCTACCTCCCCGCTGCACCGTTCATTAACAAAAAATGAAATTGTGAACGCAATTTATTGTTTTGCCTTTTTTTTTAAACTCATCGGCCCCCCCCCCCAAAAAAAAAACACAAAACCCTGACCGTCGATCATGGCCCCGAAGCGCAAGGGAGGCGACAGGGTTGGCAAGAAGCGGGTGAAACGTGCGAAAAAGATAATGCCCCTGAGCGAAAAGGTCAGATTGCTGGACCGGTTGGCTCTGGGCGAGAGCGCAGCGTCGGTGGGTCGCCTCTACGGCGTCAACGAGTCGACGGTGCGCTACATCAAGAAGAGCGAGGTGGCGATCCGTGCGAGCGTGAGCGAATGCGTGCCCAGATCAGCGAGAGCGTCGTTCTACACCCGCGATCCGCACATGGAGAAGATGGAGAGGGCCCTGAATCTCTGGATCGAGGATCAGACGCGAATGGGGGTCCCGTTGAGCGGCGTGGATATTCGTGAGAGGGCCCTGCGGTTTTACGAGCGCTCGGCGCAAAGTTCTTGCGGCGATAGCGGCAACAACGGCAGCGGTAAGAAGTCACGCACACCATTTGCGGCGAGCAAGGGATGGTTCGAAAACTTTAAGAAGCGATATTCACTACAGAACGTCAAGTTGGTCGGTGAGTCGATGGATACCGTGGCGGATGAAGGAGCTTATCGTGTGCTCCGTAAGAAGGTGGTCGACGAGGAGGAGGAGGATGACGATTGCAAACCCAGACAGGTGTTCGACGTGGACGAGATGGGGTTGTTTTGGAAGAAGATGCCCACGAGAACGTACATCTCCAAGGAGGAACGCTCGGGATTGAAGGCGCCCCCCGACGACGGACCGAGCCTCCTCTGCGCCAACGACGTGCCCGGTGTCCCGTCGCCGCTAGACGGAGATTCGAGTCGCGCTGCCGGGGTGGCGAGGACCGTCGGTGCGGAGGAAGGGCTCGAGGATTTGCAGGGGGCTGACCTTGTCGTGCTGATCGAGTCGCGCACCGAGGAGTTGCCCGAGGAGGACCTTGAAGAACGCATCAAGGCAGGCGATGGCGATAGTGATGATGATGATGATGGGGAGGAGGGGGAGGAGGAGGAGAATGCGAGCGGTAAGTCTCGGCTGAATTTGAAAACGCTTGCAGAGATCATGCAACTAGGATCTGAACTTACGGACAAAGTGTTCGAGGCGGACCCGTTGGTGGAGCGAAGCGTGCGATTCAAGAGGGAGATGGACGCCGTGTTGAACCCATATCGGGAGGTTTACAGGGACCTTTGGAGGAAGGCGAAGCAGATACCAATCACAAGTTACTTGCGGTCGCACTCATCCGCCGTCTGCGACAGCACCACCCCCGCCGAGTCACTGCCCGGCACCTCCAGCACCAAGGATCGCCCCGCTCCTCCTCCGCGGGATCTTCCCGAGATGATCCGCAAGAGGGACTCGCGTCGTGATCATCATCATCATCATGATGATGATGAGCATCATTAAAGGTAAGTTTAAATAATAGCCTACTATAATCATGATGTTATTAGCGCGGTTGGCTTCGAGGTTGTAAAACATGTTCAACATACATACACGCATACGTTTATTCATCGTATTTGCATTATTAATATGGGGTTTGTTCATGATTAATAGGGTTCGTACATATTTGCATATTTGCACGTTATTTATGTTTATGCCCCACCCCCCCGCTAACCCTATTCCCCCCCCCCGTAAGCTTTCAGTTGATATTCGCGCCGTTCTCCAGGTCACTGCAGGCCAAGTGTTTCGAACCGTGGTCACACTGTGGAGCGGCGTTATTCATCGCATGGCCCCTGGGGCCATTGGCGGGCCCTGGTGGCCTTGAGTGCGGCCAACCCCCTCCACCCCCCCCGACAATACAGAAACATTGACCCCCCCCCCATCATCCATGGGTTAGATCGAGTAAGAGGTCGCGAAACCCTACGTGTTAACCCCCCCCATCTTAAACCCCCCATCATCATCATCGTGCTGCTATCAAGCCCCAATGGTTTCAAATATGTGGCGGCCCACCCTACAAAATTGTCAACCCCTTGTCAGTGCCCTACCTTATTACAGACCAATTCAGACCTTATTGGTCACCCCGTGTCCTTATAAAGCTCAACGTTCATCCTACAAAGTCCCATCACAAGGGAGAAACACTAACAAATAGACACAAACATCGTTATTTTTTCCCGTTATAAAACGGCTGTACGCCGTATGGACCTGAAAATTAAATGTCCCTGTACAAGAATACGGGGTAAACCGTATGGGTTCACATCTATGGGTGATGTCTTATCGGCGAAAGCGTCTCCCCTACTCCGAAAATGAGTGAAGAACACTTGCTGTGGAAAGTTGGGGGAGCGGTGGTGCAACGGTTAGCGCGCTGCCCTACGAAACCAATGATGATTCTGAACGCGGTGCTGGGCTTCATCCCCAAGGTCGACTCAGCCTTAAATGTTGCGGTGTGTAAAAACGTCGCCACTGGGGAGGCAAAGGCGGCCGGGCGTGCTGGTGGCCACCCACCCCCTTCGTGTGCCGTGCCGGCCTTCATAGGTGCAAGTCGCTAACGGCACTTGCCCCCACAGTCTGTTACAGGCTACACGAGGGATCTTTGGCGGGGGCTGTGTGAATGGGGAGCGGTAGGGTCGCGGTTGGCGGCGCTGCCCTACGAACCCGGCGACCCGAGTTCGATTCCCGCTCACGGCCACCAACACCGGCAGTGACGATCAACCTGAACCCGGTCCTGGGGAGACAAAGGCGGCCGGGCGTGGTGACGGCCACCCCCTCGTGTGCCACGGTGCCGGCCTTAATACGTTTGGCACTCGCCAACAGACAGCCACTTGCCTCCCCAACAAGTCTTGTTACAGGCTAACACACGTGTGTGATGGGGTGGAGGATGGTCTTCGTCTTACGTCTTATCCCCATCTTGTCGCCGTGTGTGCGATTCAGCTTCAGGGCGACACGAGACGCGTAGGAACCACGTGACCACCGCGGCGGGGCGGGGCGGCAAAAGCCACGTGGAGCCGAGACGGAGGGAGACGTCCACGTGGTGGCACTTGGGAACCGCGTGGATTTGAAGGCTGTGGACAGTTTTTTTGTATTGTTTGGTGATGTGTTGCGGATGGTTTTCGTTTTTAATTTAGGTCGGCTCTTTCTCAAGACAGTTTCTCGGCCATGGGGTTGCAGCCTTTCAGCGTTCTGGTGAAACCCTGCAGGAGGAGAAAGTTTTTAATGTCCGTGGGGTTGTGAAAAGTCGGTGACGCGTTGCGGCGACAGGGTTGTCGTTCCACGTTAACGTGTGGCGATCTCTTTGAGTTGTAAGAAGCACAACACGTGTCGTTGATTCCAACTTTTATTCACCACATCTCTTGCTCTCTTTGTTTCCTCTGCCTCTTGGCCGTCACGTTAGCGCAACGATTCGCTGCGTCTCAAAATGGTTTCGTTAGTCACGCCAAGTTATCGATGTTCCTGTGTAATATGAATTTGGTGATTTTCAACATTTCTATGGTTGGCTAATACCGGTTACATTGCTTTAGCTGTGGGCGGTAACGCGAGAACACACAAACTCCACACAGGGGCCCTAGTCGGGAATCAAACCCACGCGCTTGCTGAGGCATGAAGGTTTCCACTGCGTCTCCCACTTGCCTTTCTAACACCTTGTTAAGTGTGGCCATGTTATCTCTCAGTGTATTACACAGAGTGGCCCAGATGTCTTGTGATCCCCATTTATTTTTTTAATTTTCAAAAGCTGAATATATTTTTTTAAAGTAAAATTTATTTATAACAAATGAATATGCAAATGAACAAAAACATGTTCGGGGGGGTCAATTAATTGGGGGGGGGGGCTCAAGACATCTGGACCACCCTGTAGACTTGGTAACCCGAGAGGGAGTGGTTGGGGAGCGCGGATTGATTGGGGGGCCACCAAACCCCCAAAAAGAAGAGAGCCACTGTCGGGCGTTTGCATCATCGTGAGAGATGGCGACGGCTTTGGGGAAATGCCTTCGTCCAACAGTGGATAGATCGGGTTTGAATTAATTTTTGTTAGGTCTTTCGAACCATGGATTGAGAGGTAAAAACTGGGACTAGACCGGACCCCTGACGGGAGAGAGCTTGCGTTATTCCTGAAACCAAATCCTAACACAATCAATGCGTACCTGAAACGTAACTTAAAAAAATATCTGAAAAAGGGCGATTGTCCGAAATGTCGTCCGTTACATTTTTTTTACTTTTTAAGGCCACTGTATTTGACGACCGTGTTGAGTTTGTTATTTGTGCATTTGTACCACCACCAATGCAGCGTCACCGAATGCATTAAGATTTGTCGCCGATTTCGCTCAACGATAAAAGTTTTCACGATATATGATTATCCTTTTGTAATTCAATTTCACAATTATATCGTCACGATGGGCTTTGATGTACTTCAAATATGAATAAAGATGTTTTAACTGAATTCAACTGGATTTCACACAACACAAGCCTGCCAAAAGTATTATCATTGGCACTTTTAAATCCATGACGCCTGTCAGAACATAACATACAATCGACGTGCCGTTAAATTACTCAGCAAAAGATTTACACCACTAATTGGTCATAGCTATTCACAATTTGACCCTAAAGCGTAAATACAAATTTCACCAACCGGGCATAGAGTTCGCATCCAGAGAAAGATAATTTAATCTCTTCTAAGGTTTATTCCACGAACTTCCCCATCTATTTCAATTAAATTATTGCTGCTGAAGCAACGCTACACCAAATTGCAGCAGCACAGGGCACCCACCGCATTGACAATAACACATTCGTCCGATTATAAGACGCCTGTCAAAGGCGAATCTGGTCACGCAAACATCTCCCGGATTATAAGACGCACACCCCGACCGTCGCTTTAAAACACGATGGGAAGGGAGCGCGACGGGGGCGAGATGTCACCGCCCTCGCATGCAGGAGCGCGTGGTTTCGATCCCCGAACCTGACGCCTGCATATTTTCGATTTTTCTCCGGGTCCTCTGTTTTTTTTTTTCTCCCCTCCACGTTTCACTGCTATAAATTTCCACGTTGATTATCCACTTTCGTTGAGCTATCATTTGTGGCCAGTGTCGCTTCTCAATTTTTTTTGCTATAAAGCTCAGTGGGCTTTACCTGATAATAAAATAAGGTTTTAGGTTGGTAATAAAAGTGGGGGAGGTGCCAGGCACGTGATGTTGATTCCGCCTTTCTGTATTAACAGTTAAATATGTTCGCATTGGGCATGAGATTCACTCGTTTAAAAAAGTCTGCTTTACAAAGAATATGGAAAAGTGTCCTGAAATAAGTGCATGTCAAAGACGAGTTATATCTGAAGACGAGTGGATGTTATAGGAATAGACACTTGAAGCACGCAACATATTACGTTGCTTCAAAGGTATTTGTAGATAAGTGCATTACACAATTGCTCATTATACAGAAACTTCAAGATCATACAGTTCAAACAATGCATACATTTACTCAATAATATATTTTAATTTAGGTTATATTTAATGTAAAAATACAAAACCGCATACCGTTATGACGCCATGTAAGCACTTTGTTAGTTACTGCATAAGGCGTGTGAGTCTACCCCAGCCACCTGTGCATACCCAGGGTTATTTTTTTGCGCCGGAGCTGCCTGGGGCTGAGCTCTGGAAAAAAATGTCCCTGCCACTCTCCGCCCTCTGTTGGTTGTGGCGGAGCGAAGTTGGAGGACGTCGGAAAATATTAAATCATACAGCCCTGACTACCCACATCAACCCCCGCCTGTGGAGATCCTGCACTCCGGCTTATACTTTTAAAAAAGTGTGAATTATTACAAGCATCCTGACAATAGGTGCGTTTACATGAGTAAATATATTAGAAAGTACTACTAACCTGGAATATAGCATACAACTATGTATAAATAACTTTTGTTACGTTAGAAGACCACTGTATATTGGCATTTTCCAGACGTGTGACCATTATCGCCGCCTGGCTGACCTTTGAAATCATGGTGTCAAAAAATTCCCACGTTCACAGTACTTAAGTCTCAAGCCACCAACATCACACACAAACAATTCCATCCATCATCTCACTTCGGAACATTAACCAACCATCCATTCTCTTGCGCATCATCTCAATCAAGCCCGTGGACGGCATCTTGCGACAAAGCTGTGCAAAACCCCACCAATACCAACGAGTGTCCCCGCGTCTACTCGCGACGTTCCAATCACGTTTGGCGAGCATTTTCCAACGCTTGCGCGTTCGGCAGCGCCGCGTGCAACGTCGGGCCGGCCTCTCAGGGACAGATCACGAGCGTGGTCTTGCCACCGAGCTGGAAGGCGGGGTAGAGCGGCTGCGTGAACTTTGCGCGGAAGGTGTACAGCTCGGCCATGCGGTCCGCGTCGATGAAGGTGACCACTCCGGCGCCGTAGTCCAGGAAGACGCCGACGGTGCGCGGCGGCTCGGCCACGACCACCGACTCGTGTTTCTCGTCGTGCCACGCAGCGCACTCGCACTGGGCCTGCGCGAGGCACCACGACGCGCCGTTCAGCCCCAGCAGGCTGGAGCCGCTGCTGCCCTTGCGACCCATGGAGCCGTAAGCGACGCCGATGCGCCATGTGTCCCCGCCGCTCACGGTCGCAGCCCAGTAGCGCTGGCCGCTCGCGAACGCCTGGTGGCACATCACCTGTTGGGGGAAGGGCGGGCGGGCGGGCCACGTCGTGAGCATGGAGTCACGGTCGGGTTCCTCCTTACCCCATCCAGAAAACGATTACAGAAATAAGGACACGGCTCGACTGCGCTCCGGTGGTATGGTCTTGTGGGGTTTGTCACCACGTGTTGTTCGGCACAGTGCTCGACGTTTTGCTCCGTTTGCCGGGGGGGGGGGCTCAAAAAATATCTGCGTGAATTTGACCCCACTGGTATGGAGAACTGGACGCTTCCAGCACGTGCAGTTAAAACGTCGCACACCATGCCGGGGGGCACGCGATGCGGTACTGCCCGAAAATATGTTGGGGAGCCATACGGCACAACTGGGAAGTAAAACACGACTGAAACTCGTGCGCCTGTCGCACCAGGGCACGTCTACAGGAAATATGTCCACCTATACAACCGTTTTGTCAATTCACGACTGAAATGAGGGCCTCCCCACGTCGTGAAGGTTGTGCTGGTTCTAGATTTTAAGCTTTCGTGACTGCAAGGATTCATACTCTTTGGTTCTATTCGGTAAAGTCACATAGAACCAAAGAGTTGTGCTGGTTATTTGACCACAGTTCACATCAGTCTGCGACTCGGTGTAGGTGGGAGCCATGGACGTGGGAATGTGGAAACAACACAACACTGTCTTGCTGCACTGCCATCTGCCGTCCACAGCGTGGCCCAGTAGATAAGACGAACATTAATCTTTACTTAAAGCTTTCGTGACTACAGGAATTCATATTCTTTGGGTCTTTCGATAAAGTCACGGAGATAGGTTCAAAGAAAATAACCAAAAAACTAGTTTTTTTTAAAAGACAAACATGAGTTGGAAAATGTTGACTTAAAGCTTTCGTGACTGCAGGAATTCATATTCTTTTTGGGTATCTCGGTAACGTAGTTTTTTTTGTTATTTTTCTTTGAACCTATCTACGTGCCTTTACCGAATGACCCAAAGAATATGATTTGGAAATTATTGAATTTATAACAAAAGAGTGGCTTCCCCGTTGTTGCATGGTTCAGGCTCGCGGGGCCGTGCAAGAGACATCACGCTTTTGAGTGGGCAGACAAGAGCGGGTGGGGACATCCGTGAACAAGAGCTTTATAGCTCATCTGATTTCTCCTGTCTAAAATAAAGATTCTGATTATGGGGGTGTGGTGTGGAGTCTGTCTGATTGGAGCTCTGAGCAGAGGCAGCTTTATAAACATTTAGAATCAACGTGCGTTTTAGAGTATTTGGCTGCTATAAATTCCCATGTGATAAGCAACTTCATTTAAGCTATCATTTGTGGCCAGGTCGCGTCTGAAAAATAAATATATAGCTCAGTGGGTCTCACCTGGTAAAAAAAAAATAGTTTAAATAGCTTTCGCCAATGTGAAACTGGGAGGCAAGGTCAGATATTCGGAAGCACGGGCTGCCTGGTGATGCATGATCCCATTTCCATGTCACTGGTCCCTGGCCTGGCAGGAATTCGCCGCTCGTGCTCGGGTGGGATGCGTGATTGCGGTCGCGGCACAGCACCTGGCACCAGTGGTCGAAGCGCTCGGGCCGTTCGGGGTAGGAGAGGCGGCGGGAGCTGGTGGCCGCCATGCGCCCATCCTGGGATAGGAGGAGGCTGGTGCTCGCCGTGTCGGGGTCGAGCGTCACGAGCTGCCCGTCTGCACGTGCCACAAATGCGTGTCATCGTCATCATCAACGCATCACTTTAACGCCTAGTAGTTAATAAAAATGTGTCATTAAACCCGGCACCACACGACACGGCCAACTAGTAAGGGTTGTCACGTAAACAGAACGTGGCCAGTTCGTCACTGGTACAGCACTAACCGGTGTGTTGGAGAGCCAAGCCGCAACATTTACAATCTGAGTTCGACATTTCGCCAGTAATTACAACTAGCTTCATCAGGCGACAGCCAGATTGTGGAGAAGTCTAACTGATGGATGATATTGGTCGCGAAGGCCTACGTGTTAAACTGACTAACCTTCATTATTGTCATAAGAAATCTTAGTGAAACAATTATATTGTGATTCTCGTTGCTATCATCATTACAAATAACCATCAATGAGTTGTCCCTTCCCCCGCACAATCTGATGAGCATGGTGGGCCTCGTACGGTGTGAAATAAGTTCAACATACACCCATAACTATCAATCAAGGTTGTCACCACCATTGCCAATAACTATCATCACCGCCATAAATAACCATCGTAAGATCATTGTGATCATCACAAAATAACCATCAAGTATATTCATCATCACTAATGACCATAATATCCACCACAGTGGCCACCACTGTGGTGGATATTATGCGTGGCGTGCACCGGGCTTACACATGAGCTTGAGGTTGGCGTTTGCGTCCTTGCTGCCATCCAGGGTGCGGATGAGCCTCTCGAGCCAGGCCTTGATGCTGGTCACGGCTGGCGTCTCCACCTGCAGCGTGGGACCCTCATCCATGGGCAGTCCAACCAGCGCTTCCGCCCTGCAGACAGCAACGGCACAGCGCCCTTCAGCCACACGTCAAACTCCACGCTCGCCACGGGAGACATTTCTGTCGGGGGAAATGGCCTTGAAGCCTACGATAGAGCGAAAAAGGAGTGGTGCCACGGTCGTGAGATGTTTTGACCCTCGACTGGTGTGCTGGAGGTCGTGGGTTCGATCCCAACCCTGACGCCTGTATAAATGGAGTTTGCGCGTCTCTCTCGCCGTGATCGTGTGGAAATTTCTCCCGGTTCCTCCACATTTATAAACACGCGTTTAGATGATTTGGCTACTTTAAATTCCCCCACATGACGAGTCACTTCGATGAGCTAAGACGTGTGGCCAGGTCTCCTCTGAAATAAAGCTCAGTGGGCTTTACCTGGGAACCAAACAAATTGCCGGCAATTGCCGGCAATTGTCACCGGCCTCGCGGTTCTATTAAGACAATGATAATAGAGTTTGTTGAAAAATGGTTAAATATTATACATTTCCTATCTCAGATCACGTTGTCATTCGGTCACCAAGACAAAAGGATCGCAGTTACTTTGGGCAGGAACTGATGATGGACTTTCCGTAACGAACAGAGGCAGACTACTTTTGGTACACGTTTCCGTTTGTTGTTTGAAACACATGGTTTTGTGCTCTGCACTGTCCGCTTCTGTTACGATTCATTTTCTCGTCATTCACATATTTTGCTTATAGCCGGCATTGTACACCGTGAGAGTGAAAAGGAAGGCATTGACAGCTTACCTCTTCGAAGCAGACGAGTAACCCTGCGAACACGCACACGCCAAGCGCAAGGTGTGTCAGTACTACATTTTAACCAGCGTGTAAAGCATTTTAACAGAGGCACGCATGAGCCACAGGGTTGCTCTTTCAGATCTTGTTTGAAACATTCTGCTTTAAAGCACTGCAGCGGGATTTTTTTTTATTGAAAACAAACACTTGTTATTCCGAAAGTTACCTCCTACCCCGAACCCCAAAGTGAATAGTCACCAACTACTGCCGTTAATCTTGGGTGCGTATTAAATTTAGGATTTCAGTTAACGGTAGAAGCAATGGCTACCAATGAGTTGTTAACAAACGAGGCACATTCTAAAAGCTTAAGCGTATACGGAATGCGTTTTGAACATTTCAATAACGCAGCTCAAAGAAAATGGCATCTGTAACTAAACAATGAGCGCTATATTTACGGACACACGGACGTAATTGTCCATGTCGAGTGCAATAAACATTTCCAATCGGTGCATTCCGAAATGTAAAAAAAAATACATAATTTATATTCAAAATGTACATTAAGTATTATTATGCCTACTGTATTTACCCAGGAAAGCCTCAATGGGTCTCAGCTCTTGTTCAGGAGGGTCTTGCCAAGTGTTCGCAGTCGGGAGGGTTGCAATGTTGCCGTGTGCAATTCGAATTGAATAATTTTCATGCAACGTCGCCACCATTGGGACGCTTGGCCAACGCGAATCAGTTTGCACTGCGCGCGCTCAATTTGAACCTGCGCTGTCGAAATTGTCGCCGACAAATCCCACGTTTGACCTGTGTACCGTGCACGCGCTCGCACACCGCACGGCGAGCTGCCCCCGTGGGCCCTGGGAGCAGGGACTATCGTCGAAGCACTATTTCGACAGCGGCTGCGTTACACGTGGCGCGCCTCCCCGTGCCGCGGCGTTCACCTGCATGAAGGCGAGCGCGTCGCCCATGGCCGCCTGCGCGTTGAGCTGCTCCTCCGCTTCCCGCAGCGCCACGAGCTGCTGCTCGAGCTGCGCCAGGCGGTCGTTGGCGAGCGCCAGCAGCCGGCTCTGCTCCATCTCGATGGTGATGACGGCCGCCCGCTCGCGCTCGTCCAGTGCCCGGCGCGCCCGCCCAAAGCGGTCCACCACCTCCAGCTTCAGGGACACGCACGAACCCTGCAAGCGCGCACGCGACGCGCGAGAGTTGGGTCAGGTCACGGTGCAGCCCTGCCTGGTTCCGATCCCGACAAAAGAAAACCGTGCTGACTTGTTCAGAAAATCCACACGATCGGCGAGACACCTTTGGGAATGTGCACGTCTGCCAGGGAGCATTCTCCTAATTCGTTGCAATGCACTGCGGAGCATTTGGTTTTGACAATGGCCTCATGCACTTTCGAGATGGTGTGTTGACAATGTCAAGGAGGTAAAGGTGCCGCCGTGCGATTGCTGGGCTTGCGCCACTGCTACAACGATCTCGAGCGAGCCTCACCACACGCGATCTGTTGATTCGCGAATTGTGGTGCACAAATGTGTACAGGTGGGTGGACACAGTTGGACGGATTTAATAAGCTTGCCCTTGTTGATTCAACTCCTGCGCTGGGAGGTCAAATCGAACTGGCGACTGTGCCGGTCAACATCGATATTTGAGAAGCAAAGGCAGGTGGATGCCATCCCGGCCACGCTGTCCCCTAGTCTGCTGCATTGATCTTCATATTTGCTTGTTAAAAGAAATGCAATAATCTATACTGGGGATTTTTGTAGCTGTGTGCATAGCAGGATGATACTTTCCTATTTATAAACAAAGTGGTGGCAAGCTTTGCGTTATCTTCTCTCCACGGGTATCCTGTACGCTCAACTAAATGTCCAATTTTTTGTGTTATTTTTTATCAATTTATTATTTTATTCTCATTCTACGTGACTTTACCGAAAGAACCAAAGAAGATAAATGTCCAATATTTAACACTATATTACTATATCTGCGCTGAGCATATGACATTACTTGCTTTCATAATAATGATAATGTAACAATTTTTTCCCCAATAAATCAACGAATACTATTGTATGAGTAGAACTCACCATAATATCTTTGGTGGCTATTTCATATTCAATTTTGCTCTTGGACACCGTCATTTGTTTGATTTTCAGCTTTTGTCTCTTCTGCTTTAGGTCCATCTGTACGCAAATAAAAACAAGACACGTGTGAATACTAATCGAGTGTTCGATTGTGGTTGTCCCGTTCAAAACAAGGCATGAAGGTATAGTAGTAGTAGTAAGTTCTATTGGCCACATTGTATTTTCACAACAAGGAATGGAATATCTATCGATATATATGAACACGTACATTTGACAAATGCTAACATAGGAAACCATTGTACGAATATGAAAACGGTGGCAACATGTTAACTACCTCGCCCGGTAACCAGGACGTCGTGGGTTCAATCCCAGACCCTGACTCATGTATATTTGGAGTTTGCATGTTCTCCCCGTGGTCGTGTGGATTTTCCTCCGGGTCCTTCCGGGTTTTCCCGTCCACATTTAGAAACATGCATTTAAAGTATTTGGCCGCTATATTTTTCCACCTGCTAAGCCACTTCGTTGGGCTGTCATTTCTGGCCAGGTCACTTCTGAAAAAGAGCTGTACAGCTCAGTGGGCCTTACCATACCTGATGGAATAAAAAAAATAGTTTAGTTTTAGTTAATATGGGGAAAAGATCTACTTCGAGTGTGATGTTACACACGGCCAGTCCGAACCGAGGAATGTGAAAGGGGGAGGCTTGCTCACGGTGTGGTATATGTCGACAACTCAAAATGTCATTCCCCCCCCTCCCCACAAACGTATCTTGACAGTGATTTAAAATGTGCACGGACTTTTTGTTCATTAAATTCAGACATGTTTTACTTGTTCGTGGCTTGAAAGTTCATCCATCAACAGACATGCCGTGCGGCTTTCATGTGATGTAACTCGTAAATTGTGCAATACCTCGGACGTTGCTGAAATTACACGTAAACAGCTAACCCAAAAAAAGAAAATCGCCATTAGCATGTGGCTTTTTCAGTCACTTGGCTGACACATTCATGCAAATGCCACGAACGACGGTGCGTTTTTTTTCTCTCTACAAAATTCTGGAGGTGTCGAGTCTCCTGCATTGAACCGAGTGGCTTTGGCGGTAAATCTCACACAAAGGCAGCAGACAGCAAGAAAAGAGAGACCGTCGCATGATTGTGCAAAGGTGGCTCTTAAATTGTTCTGCAGAGCCCACATCAGCGCGAGTGCAAATCAACATTGGAGAGGAAATGTGCACAGCCCTTATGTCATGCCACTGCCGGATGAGGGCTTCACCACGCCTATGTGGGTTGTGGGGATTATTTTGTGTTTTACCATACTTCACCACACTGGTCAGTGTAGATTATCGAAGGCACAGAGTTAGAATTGAACGGCCCTCGTGATCTATGTCACCGTGCATGCGTGGTCAAAAATGTAACGCCTCTAATGTTGCACAGTCGCATTCACTCTCGAGTCAATATAGATTTTTAACAGGCTGTCGCGACCAATATTCATAATAAAGGTTTTCTTGGGGGGTCATATCGCGTAAATGTGTCGTTAACCCACCACCCCCCCCGACACAGCCATTTGTTCAGGGTTGTCACGTACACAATGCGTGCCAACCCATGGCTACTTCAGCACACCGGTGTGTCGGAGAGTAAACCCACAACATTTACAATTTGTGCACGACGTCCCCGCTGGTCATTGCACCAGCGAAAACCTTTACTATGAAGCTTCAACTTTTGTTTGTCCCGTAAAAACCTGTCCAACTAAACAATAAAATGTCGCGTTGTTCAACGCCCCCTCCTCCTCCTGCCCCATCCCTCCTCTCACCTGCGCCCCCCCGACCGCCAGCTGCAGCTCCTCGACCGCGTGTCCCTGGCAGAGGCCGTCGTTGACGCACGCCGCGCACACGCACGCCAGGTCCGAGCGGCAGAAGAACTCCAGGGGCCGCCCGTGCCGTCCGCAGACCCCCAGCGCACCGCGCGCGTCGCCGCCGCCGCCGCCTCCTCCTCCTCCTCCTCCGCACGCCACCGCCGCGGGCAGCTCGAGCAGCCGGTGCTGGCGCGTGAACGCCGCCGTCTCGTCGTGCATGCGCAAGTGCTCGCCGCAGAAGGACACCTCGCAGGTGAGGCACGCCTTGGCGGCCGGCACGCGCGACATCGTGCACAGGCCGCAGAGGGAGGAGAGCGCCGGCGGGGAGGAGCGCGCCGGGTCGGCCGAGATGAACGCGAGGGCGTCGGCGGCGCGGAACGGGCATCGCTGGCCGAGCTGCGCTATGATGCTCGCCAGCGGGGTGCTCGTCTGCAGCGCGGGGCGCTTGTGGAACACGTGGCGGCACTGCGGGCAGTCGCAGCCACCACGCGCGCAGTTCACCCTCCAGTGCGTCTCGATGCACGAGCGGCAGAAGCTGTGGCCGCACGGCAGCGTGCAGGGCGTGATGAACATGTCCAGGCACACGGAGCACGTGCACTCCTCCCGGAGACCACTGCCAAAGTTCGACTGGAGGCGCACCGCCATGGGGAAGCTGCGCACGGTTGCAGACGCTGTGGTGCGCTTGACACGGCTGGTGATGATGTGGTGCGCCTGAAACGGCTGGTGATGATGTGGTGCGCTTGACACGGTTTGAGATGATGTGGTGCACTTGACACGGCTGGCGATGATGTGGTGCACTTGACACGGCTGGCGATGATGTGGTGCACTTGACACGGCTGGCGATGCTGTGGTGCACTTGACACGGCTGGCGATGCTGTGGTGCACTTGACACGGCTGGCGATGCTGTGGGAAGAACTGCGAAAGCTGTGCAGTGGCAATGAGTGGCGTGGAGGCGAGACAGGTATATATATATTCTTGACTGCGTGTGTCAGGGGGTGGCTAAGAGGTGTGGCTTACAAATGTGACGAGCGAATGTTAAAATTCCATAACCAAATAGGGAGCAACGCTTTGCATGGCTCAAGTTTGTCACCTGGGGTTAAACAAAGCATGGTTCATGTAATTTGCATGTGGTGGTCAAAACATGTATATTTCTTTCAAAGGAAATTAAGTACACATAGCACATACTTGAATATATATAAAACAAAAATTACTTGTAACATGACGATACGGTCATTTATTTACAACAAGATTTGTACTTTAAAGCAGGCTCCAAAATAACCTGAATGCACCCTTTCGTCAATTTTGATTTTTCGTATAATATCTTGTCATAAACAATGTTTGCCCCATTAACACCTCCCTTATTAATCACCTAAATGTTGTGTATTTTAACACCATGGACTTAACTTGTATCTTCCACCACAATGATTCAGAATAGTTTAAATTGACCACAGGTTACATGTTTCATGCGCAATTACACCTTGCTGTGTGTGTATATCCATATCAGCCGTGCTTCAACAACCAGTTGTGCCACTTGCACAACATTATGCCATGGGATGCGCCCAACTATAGAATGCTAAACGAGACGATCGGCAGGTAGCGTGTAGCGGGGTAAACTGTGGGTTTACTCGCCTCTTCAAAGGCGTCTGGCCAGTGTGGAAGAGTAGGCCAATAACGCGATAGAGGAGGGGGGGGGGGGCTGTCTAGAACTCCTCCTTGTTAGCAGTGGAGGCCCTTTTGCTAGCAGTGGCGAGCAAGCAATTTCAGGTCTGCTGCACCTTGGCGGCGCCACGGTTGGCGAGATGTTAACAACCTCGCCTGGTATACAGGAGATCGTGAATTCGATCTCGACCCTGACGCCTGCCGTATATTTGGAGTTTGCATGCCTCTCTCCCCGTGGTCGCGTGGATTTTTCTCCGTGTCCTCCGGTTTCATTCTCTCCACATTTCGAATCAATGTGCTTTAGAATATTTGGTTGCCTATACATTTCCACGTGATAAGATCAGTGGGCTTTACCCGGTAAAATAAAAAAAAATACTACGTTTAGTTTGACTGAAAACTGTGTCACGTCAAAGTAAAAAAAAAGTGGGGAAAATAAAAATTTCATAAAGAACCGGTTCACCCTCATGTGTCGCATTCAGCCCATAAGTCAAACCACACCCGTCTGAGAAGGTCAGGCTTGAGTGCACTCCCGTGCGTGTCCGTTGATCCTGGTGATGTTTTCCGAGCGTTGTTGAATACCGAATAAAATAGAAAAAAACAATTTATCGGTTTCAACCGACAGAGAAAACTTACAGGAACAAAACAATAATACACGAATCGGTAACACCACGACCATGTTACTGATTATAATTACACCCTCCACAAGGGCTCTCACCAGGGGGAATACCTCGAGCTTCCTCTAGTGGTGGCCCTTCCACCAGCAGTGGCAAGTAATTGCAGGGCTGCACCTTTATAATTTTCACCGACCGATTTTAACAAAAATGTCATTTTAAATGTTTGCCGGTGCCAAATAACGAGCAACGAGGCCTATGTGGGCAGTTGTCCAAAAATCTGTCAACTATATAATCGCTTACGAAGAAAACTATGTTATTAAGGTTGTTACGCAATATTAAAATGGTCTTATAACCACAATTAATGAATGGGTAGCCAAGTGGTGTATTTTATTGTTCTTTCTTTAATGTCTCGCGGTTGCAGTGACAAGCTGGATACTCTGTACCACCAGTGTCAACATTGATGAATTGATCTGTTTGTTAAAAGTAATGGGCGTTAGCCCTGTTTTTCTTGTTGATACCACATTGCAGGACTTTAGAAAAAATACCGAAAAGTACATTGAGAACCCAGGTAATCAGACAAGTCTTTGTGTGTCTGCACGCCTGCCTGCCTGTCTGGATTGCTCTTTTGAGTGAAATAATATGTGCTGAAGATCGCAGTTTTTCTAAGACCCACGTCAGTGGAATGGCTAAAGCAAATATGCATCACAGAGTGTCCCTTGTTAGTGTTGTCAGATATCGCCTGTTCATGTGCCTGCAATTCAAGCGTCATTTCAGTGTAAATCCTTATCCTTACTATCGTTCCCATGTTAATTACATGAAGAGAAAGACTTGGCCACCAAATAACACATCGTGGTCATCGTCCAGCATGATCGATTCCACTGTGTGGGTGAAGGCATCCCAAAGTTGCTGTCCCCGTCTCTCCTGGTCCTGCAAATGCGCACAATTCACCTTGCACCTGCCAGTCAGCTGATTTCATTGCTCCTACCTCTGTGGAGAACGTCACCTCCGATTAGTCACGGTTGGGTACGAACGGCGTGAAAGAATTTCAACATACACGCATCTCGGACGTGGTCCTTCCGTTGGCTGCCACTCAATTGTTCCGTCTCAGCCATCGGCCATCATCCCGTCTCGTGATGCGTCCTGCGCTAGTCTGATTTCCTTCCTTTCACAGTCAAATTATGTCTCATTTGTATAAAATGTAATTCATGTTTTCCTCTTCGCGTCTCTTGGTGTATTTCAAGCGCGCACCTCTCTGCTTTTATTTGCACCCTTTAACAGTTTTTTGTTTGTCAATGGCCAAGTTTCTGATCCATGCCCTAACTGCGAATATACAATAGTTATATTCTTGGTTCTTTCGGTAAAGTCACGTGACTTTACCGAAAGAACCAAAAATATGAATCCCCGCAGTCACGAAAGCTTTTAAAATCAAAATGTATACAATAGTTATGAAGAGGATTGGGAGGGAGTGAGAGTGCTTATAGCAAACTTAATTTGATGACGATAAGCAAACACATTCTTTAAGCGCAGAATGGATTTATTTAAAAGTGTGTCTTCAGGCAGTGCCAAGGTACATGCAAAACCAAGTTATGTATGTACTACATAAATCTGCCTCGTAACACACGTTTTTTTTTTACAAAATACAATACCTAAGGCAACTTCTGAAAAATAACCCTGAGACTCGGTGATACATTTTTCGTGCATAAAAAGTTAGGGGTCGTCATCGGCCATATTTAAACCTCTGCTCGATGAAGAACTTCCCAACCACGTGCTTTTCTTCCGGTCCTGTGATGTCAGAATCGATCGCAGCTACCACCACACAAACCCATTTCACCACTCCGTCTCTTGCAGCCTTGCAGCGGATGTCTTCTTGGGCGTATTCTCTCGTCTGCCTGTCACTCCATCATTCTTTTTGACCACTTGCCATCCCATTTCCACTTTACTTTTCTGGACAGCGGACCTTCCGCATGGAGCTTTGCGAAGGTGAAACACTGCCGCCAACGACGACGACTACGTCTACTACTACGTCATCGTCGTCACACCTAAACCACAACCCCTGAATGGGCGCATTTCACAATCTAGCCTTGGGTTATAATCGGACAGTTGAGGCTTGTCTCCGGCCAGTGCCGGATTATCCTAGTAGCAAAAGTAGCTACATGTGTAGTAGCTACGGGCCCCGCACTTTCAAGGGCCCCACGCTAAATGCTTTCAAGCTATCAATTCCGGTTCAGTGATTTTGCACGTGCTCTATTACTATAGTACTATACTGTCTTCAACTTTTATGAACGACTGAGTGTTTAAGGTGAGTGATTTGTCGTATTATCTGGCTGTGTAGCAAATGAAAAAATACAATTACTTTACTATGCAAATAAAAAAAATTGCGTTTTCTAATTTATATTTATTTTCATTTAGGGCCCCTTTATAACATATGCTACAGGCCCCGCACTAGCTTAATCCAGCACTGTCTCCGGCACCTAACAGCTCACAGGATTAACACAATTTTAAAGGGGCTTTAAATTCCCCCAAAAAAGCATCATGTAAAGAAAACACAAATCTAGTTTTTTTAACATAGTAGAGAACACATCTGGTCTGAAAAAACACACTTAGCAGATGGGGAGACTACATATTGTGCATTCATCACTGGCTCTATTTGCTTGCGATAACTTTGATAATGAGGTTTTTGGGTGAATGGCGTAAATATAAATGTGTCGTTAAACCTGCCACCACCCGGCACAGCCATTTAACAAGGTTTGTACACGTAAACAAAACATGCCAATTCGTTACTACTACAGCACACCGGTGTGTTGGAGAGTAGCCCCACAACATTTACAATTCGAGTACGACGTTTCGCCAGTAATACCAACCAGCATCATCAGGCAACAGCCAGAGTTGTGGAGAAATCCTCCTGTTTCGGGGTTTAAACAGAGAAATACATGTGATGTCGTCACTTGTGAGCCAATCAGGCCGGGGGGTGGTTAATGTTTGCATGTGAATTAAAGTGGATAATAGTGGTCGCGAAAGCCTACGTGTTCATGCGAAAACTTGCTGGGTTTCCCAAATGTTCTCCATGATCCTTGTGGAGAATTACCAAAATAGTTTATGTCCGATGTAAGTAAAACATCCAGTAACCCCCGTCTGTTGAAAGGGCAGGCCGTTGAGATCTATTGCCATAGCTAGAATCGCGTTGTTGAACATTAACCTGCAAATAAGAACGCGCATGTGCATCCTTTTGTCAACGCACTGCTGGATGAGGGATGAGGGATCCCTCCCCCCCCCCCCATTCTGTACGGGGTGTGGGGGTTCAATTGACCACGCTCCATCGCATCGGTCAGTGCGGGCTTGTTGGAGGGGCACATTTGTGGGAGCTGAGCACAGATGTCGAAAACAAGCAGAGAACAGAATTGGACTTTTATCTATGGGACATTTTTTTGCCAGTATCAAAAATGAGGAAAAATAAGAATACATTGTTTACCCTTTCTGATGTTAAGATGTTCAAGTAGAGATGTTTTGGGATCTATGTGGTATCTATTTGGTGTTTGAACATCTTAACACCCATTTCATCACCACCAGATACCTTTTTTTTGACTTTGCTGTATTTCCCTTTGCTGCCAACAAGGCAATTCCACAGCCTATAATCCCTGGTATATGTCATTAATAATCATTAGTTCAGGTCAGTTCCATTTATTTGG